ACATCTGATGTCAATAGTGATATATCTTGTTCCACGTCCTCTTCTGAATCTAGCTTGAATTTCTGGCAACTCTCTGTCAATGTACCGTTGTAACTACTTTTAATTTTCTTCAGAAAAATGTTCCTTGTATGTGATATTAATGACATTGTTCTATGACTTCTACATTTTATTAGTCACCTTTCTTTGGAACGGGCACATATGGATCTTTTCCAGTCAATTGGCCAGGTAGCTGTCTTCCAAATGTTTTGGCATAGATAAGTGAGTGCCTCCAGTGCTGCATCAGTTTCTTGAAAGATTTCAATTTGTATTCTGTCCTCTCCTGGAAACTTGTTTTCACCAATGCCTTCAGTGCAGCTTGAACTTTTACTTCTACCTTCAATATCATCAGTTATTGATCATATGCTACCTCTTGAAATGGTTGAACATAAACCAATCCTTTCTGGTACAGTGACTTTGTGTATTCCTGCCATCATCTTCTGATGCTTCCTTCATTATTCAATATCTTGTTCATTGCTGCTATTGTTAAGTGCTGTCAAGTTGGTTTCAACTCACAGAGACCCCACATAGGGTTTCCAAGGCTGTAAATATTGCAGGAGTAAAAAGCCTCATCTTTATCCCATGAAGCAGCTGGTTGGCTTCAACCATGGACCTTGTGGTTTGCAGTCCAGTGCTAATCCTGTGGAGCCACGTTATTTTGTCCTGAGAATACTTCAGCATTTAAATTTGAGACTTGAATTTTTTCTTCAGTTCTTTCCATTGAAAAATGCTGAACATGTATTCCCTTTAGGTTTTCTGACTCTGGGTCTTTGTACATTTCATTATAATACTTTACTTTGCCTTCTCAAGTTGCCCTTTGAAATTTTCTGTTCAGCTCTTTACTTCCTCATTTCTTCTACTCACTTTAGCTTCTCCACACCAAGAACAAGTTTCAGAGTCTCTTCCGACATCCATTTTAGTCTTTTCTTTTTTATGTCTACTTTTAATGACCTTATACTTTCTTCATGGATGATGTTCTTGGTTTCATCCCATAACTCTTCAGTCATTTTAGTCATTAATGTCTGCTGTATCAAAGCTCTTCTTGAGATGGTCTCCAAATTCAGGTGGGATACATTTAAGGTCATATTTTGACTCTGTGAACTTGTTTTCATTTTCTTCAGCTTCAGCCATGCATATGAACAACTGACCTCACTACATAGAAGGCACAATAATCAAAGTGATTACATCTGTGTGAAGAGGCGATGGAAAAGTTCAATATCAACAGTCAAAACAAGGCCAGGGACTAACTTTGGAATTGTGGGTAGACCTATTTCCATGGCTGCATTTTGGTCAAGCAACATTCTCGAAGCAGAAGCTTCCTTCTAAGCAATACAAGAAGTTACCCAGCAAATAACCAAATTCCAATTCCTGCTCTAACTCCCTTGTTTTTCCTATCTGTAAAATGCTTTGAAAATGCTGGAACCAAATGATTTCATTAATGCTAGCTATTAACATGAATAGATGTGTTGACTCAGAGCTCCTGGGGACAACAGGAGGACAAAGAGGTAGGGTGTAACACAATGGTTGACTCTATATGCTGGGACTTGCTCTTTTGGGGTGTTTAGAATTAGAAACGCAATTAAATTTGCAGAGGTACTTCAAAATTGTACTACCCCTTTGCTTCTGCTACCACAGAAAGATACCCACCCCAGGTGAATACCCAGGGTAGGGGAACTCCAGGGAACTAAAAAACCCCACAATTACTCAAATGCTCATTTTTAAAAAATGCACTTTATTTTTTAAAAGTTGCTAGTTATGAAGCTGCTCCAGATGCAGAACAAGAAAAACACTGATACTATTCAAGGATAAGTCAAAAAGTATTGCTACAGTGATGCCTGAGATGGAGGCAGAGATGATGACATGGAGAGATGGAGCAGCTGGGGACATGAGATCCAGAGAGGGAGAGGGGCTGTGTGTTGATGACCAAAGGGGGTGGGAGGGGGGCAGGCTTGCAGGGTATATCCTTTGGTTGGTTGATAATGCATGGAGGGGATTGTAACTGTGGCAATGAAACGATATACGATAGAATGAATGTAAAATTAATGCTCTCCCATGTAAATTATCACATAATTCACAATAAAACATTTATATA